ACCCTAGTGTATTGCAAGAACTAGATTTTATCATTTATACAAGAGGGGGAGGGTTATGATATTTTGGGCCAAGCTCAAGGGGAGGGTTAGCAAATTTCACTCCCATTGCAGGGATGGGTCACCTAATTTCCGAACCCAAATTTAAAATTCCCACCCCCCCTCCCCCCCTGCTAATTTCTGACAAGTCCCTAAGAAGAGATATGAGGTGACAAGGGATCATCAATTAAATATTGAATAAAGAAGGGGGTCATTTGCTATTTTCATTGCCTGGAGGGGGGAGAGCTCATAGAAATTTTGATATTTCTAATATACTTTTCCCTCCCCCACTCTATGTAAATAATGACTGCTCCCTGGCTACATATCCTCTTTGAAAAGTCAACGCCATGGGACACTCTGAAGGTAGTCTATCAAAATTCCTAGAGATTATTTGTTGGTCTAAAAAACAATTATATGTGTTGATTGTTTATATATACTATGCAATTTTATCTTTTTGGGATGAGAAACTGTCACTGTATTTTAAGATAAGTGATTGATTCATTTTTTTAAATTTGTATTCCAGGTGATTGTAGAGCTGTTCTTGGAAGTACAAAAGGGGATGGCTCTTGGTTGGCTACTCCACTCTCTGTTGATCAGACAGCTGAGAATGATGATGAAGTAGAGAGACTTAGGTTAGAGCACCCTGGTGAAGCCTTTGTCATAAAGAACAAGCGTCTCCTCGGACAACTACAGCCACTAAGATCATTTGGTGACATTCAATACAAGTGGGATAAAGTAACCCATTCCCATGTTCTCACACAGGTGTATGGGGGTCCTATTGTTCCACCAAATATGTACATAACTCCACCTTACCTCACAGCAAGACCTGTTGTTACACATCACCGTTTACAACCCCATGATAAATTCCTTATCCTTGCCACAGATGGCTTGTGGGATGTTCTTAGCAATGAGCAAGCTGTTGGCTTGGTTGCCAGTTTTCTTCAGCAGGATAGGAAAGATAAAGAGATTGCTGTAGCTCCCACTGACATCAAAGATGCAGGGGATGAAGTTCTGGAACAAAATGCAGCCACTCATCTCATTCGTCATGCCTTGGGTGGTAATGACCATGGCTATGTAGCTCAGATGTTATTGGTTCCAGAGCAATATAGACGTATGTGGAGAGATGATATTACTGTCACTGTAGTGTTTTTTGATTCAGATGTCCTCCTATCTAAGCTGTAGGAGACATGGTCAGTGGTTTATTTTTTAACAGTTCAAAGACAAGTTTACATCTATATTGTTTACAATAAAAGAATTTAAGCAACAAAAGTGGGAACTACAGTTACTTATTAGTAGGAGCTATACTTTAAGTTCTATGATAAACAATTGCAGTGCACCTAATTCTTGATTTTATTACCCAAAATGTTCAACCAGATGAAAAAAAACCATTGACTAGGAACATTACAGTTACTGATATAAGCTCATGGGGAAAATTTGTCATTCCCCTTTTTACTAGAGTGATGGAGCTTCTAATGTGAACATGATGGCAGGGCAGATAGCATACTTGCATATTTTTCACGGCCAGTGCTACTTCCTTAATTTTTTATTTTACATTGTAGTATTTTAATTTTATCACCAAATTCCAGCTTTACCACTTACTAGGAACTTGATTACCCAACACAATTATGAGAAGGGGTTAAAATATTCAACTAATAAATCAGTTTCTCTGAAATTGATTGTTGCACTATTTTCAGTTGTTAGAAAGCAAAGTTTGATTCATTTGCAATTCTGTGTAACTTTTAATGCAAGGTAAATAAAATGATGGTACCTGGACAGACCATGTGTAATAGAAATAAGTGAAGTACATTTTAACTACCAGGTTTAGTGTTTGAATTTTGAAACCTACAATTCAGAAGTTCTGGGTGTCTTAAAAATTTATCCTTGAACTATGCAGTTAAGAAACCATATGAATTAAGGTGGTACCAGAGGCTAATTTGGTGAATTTTTGCAAATTTTGGGAATAAAATATCTTATGACAAATTTATGGCAATGACTTGAAATTTTCACGTGCTTTATGATTCTACTAATAATGTGGGAAAAACAAAATAGTTCACTTGGTGTAATGGAATTTGTGGAATTTCATGGAATCATGGGGTGTGTTCAAAAGGCCATTTTGGAGAAAAACCTCTCTAATCTAAGTTAATTTAACACCACACAAAATGGTTTGGCACATGTACAAAAAAGTCATAAGTCCAATTTATCCTTGATGTACCCAGACCAAGAGCATGTTTTAGGTTCTCAACTCTGATTAAGTGAAATTACTTTTAATGTAGAATGAGAATATTACTTCAATTGCTTTCGCATACCACTGCATATGACAAGTAATGACCTACTTTTCATGGGGGATTACCCAATACAGCCAAGTGAACACATGGAAAACTTAAAAAAACAAAGAGAATATTGCCACACACAAGAGGTTTAAGCATAAGGTAAATGTGACAAACCAAGTTTTTTTAACCTTAGTGAGCAACTGCACAGCAAATTAAACCATATCCTGTATGTGCTAGCATGCTACTCTAAAAAGACTTTAGAATCTTGATTTACTACACAACACCAATGACAAGAAAACTGCAAAACACCTCAAGGGTGCATTGTGAATGGTGTTAGCAACAAACCCTGTAGAAAACTAGTACAAGCATCATACCTTTATAAATCTGGGCCCAGTTGTAAAGAGTGCAGATAATGCTCCCTATCAGTTAAGTAATTGCAAAATGTACTATGCTATCCTCCAGATACAAATTTGTTCAGC